CGTGTGTGTAGATATGTACGTATTTGTATGTTTGTGCATGTGTGTACTTCTGTGTATGTGAGCGCGTGTGTATATGTTTGAGGGGGAGGGGTGGAGATCTTTTAGCAAGAGTTTGAATTGTCTGTGCCATTTCGCCAGTTATCTGCAGAGTCTACTCTTCTATTCAGCGGCATGTTCCCCAGTGCGAGTCTCGTACTCCAAACCCTTTGCCTTCACATTCTGACGCTAAAGAATTTGTGTACATAGAATCGATTCACAGCTCTTCTGCTTTTACTGATCGCTTTGTGGGTCCATTTCAAAGTCAACAGGGGAGAATGGCAGTTGTAATGGATAAATAATTAAGGACAACGACTGGCTTTTTTCAGGGCCTCTCTGTGCTGTCATTCTTTCCTTTCGTCGTTGCTTTATATCATGTATCATCAGTGTGTGACAATAGCACATTTTTAAGCAGGTGATTTTACGCCCCATCAACACAATTTAGGTCCTTTAGAAGGCAGGTTTACGACCCAGCCTGTCAGTGTCAACTAGTACGGACGAAAAAGGATAAATCCTAGCAGAAAGAACGAGATTCTCGATAAGAATTTTCTCCCCACTCGGGAATCGAGCTGTGGTCTACTTTATGCGATAGCGATGCGCCTAACTACTGCACCTCAGACACCTCTACAACTGACCTTATTTTAAATGTTAATGGTATTTTTCTGTAAGTGTTTTACGGCGCTCGCAACTGCATAAGGTCATATGAGCGCGCAGGACACACCAAACATTTCCAGTTGGTAACAAATTTTGAATTGCTCACGGGAACTCTGAGATTTTTCGCCTGTGTCCGAAAAGCCTAGGTGTAGATCTTTCTTACCATAAGATTAGGGGTGTGGCTGAAAGACAGCAGTAAAACGGGGCCTATGAGAAGCAGCAGAAAGGCTACAGAAAGAGTCCGGAGCCCAGAGGAGGGGGCAAGGAGGTGAGCGGGTGGGGGCAGAAAGTGGAAAAGAAAGCTGACGACAGGAGATTGTTAGAGAGCAGAAAAAGATGTGAAAGGAGAAACTTTTAGAGAAGAAAGGGGGCTCTCGTGGCCTAGATGTTAAGGTGTTGGCCTCTCATTCAAAGGTCCCGGGTTGGAATCCAGGTAGCGACCGAAACATTTTTTTCTCTGAAATTGTCTCCTTTCACCTCATTTCCTGCTCTCTAGCAAAATTCTGTCGTCTAGTTTCGTCTCCTTTTTCTACCCCCACTCCCTCACCTCCTTTGCCCTCTCCTCTGGGCTCCGGACTCTTCCTGCAGCCTTTCCACTGCTACTCCTTGACTCCTTCTTACAGCTGTCTTTCTGCCACACCCCTGATCTTCTGGTAGGAAAGATCTACACCTAGCCTTCTTGGACAAGGGCTAAA